TCATTCATTCATTCATGTCAGCATGAATTTAGGAATATCCATTTTATACTTTGTGGTATAATTCAATATTATTTTGTTGTTCAAATCATTCCAACTTTGGCCACTGGAAGCTCCGTCATTTGGTCCCTGTGTCCCTGACAGCACCATACTGCTTCCTAAGTACTGCCTTACTTTTTGGCTCTACAAGATGTTCCACGTTCATTTTATGTATTTCCTGTACTATTCCTAGAATTGGCTATTTCTCCAAGGAATTTAGTTCCTTTTGTTAGAGAATGGTGTTAGAAACCAAAATCTGAGTACTGGGATTCAACAATTTTTGATCTATAAAAATGACAATTTCATACAGTTCAATATATCACCATCTCAGTTTAACAGATGGGGAAATGGTCTTAGACGGGTTCAATAACTTAAGGTTTCCAAGCGCACAGTGTTTGAAGTATCAAGTCTGCATAAAATAAACTTACCAATTTAAATCAATAGTAAAGTAATGAGAAAAGGACACAAATCATCATTTGGAGCTTGGTGTCAGCTATCATAGCTGCTCGAAGATGTTTTGTTTACTCAAAGTTCAAAGACTGATGGAAAAAATAGGACGGTATTATGAACTCAATCTCTTTCATCAAGTAACTCATCAATTTTCAAAGCAAATTCAAAGTAAAAAAATTATTATTTTTTTAAATAACCAGCTGGATTGCTAAGCTATGTGCATCTTTCACTGTAATCATAAGGGATCAGCTCAGAAACTTAATCTTTCCCCTATTTATTTCCCTAGAACTGCAACACCCACAACTTGAACTAGAAGTATATTATACCATCTTTTAGCAGTTCATAAACTTCAGTCAAAACAATACAATGCCTTCCAAGATTATTGCCAAGGAAATACACCAACAATGAACATAAAGTGCCGAGTATTTCATATGCAAGAGCAGATTACTTCAAAAAATGTTTGTTTTTTGCTTAAAATATACCCATGATCCTATGTCTCCACATGTCAACTTTACTAATACAAATAAGAATTTACTAGAACAAATATCCACAATTAATTTTTTAATAAGTCAAGGTTACCTTTCTACCCTAGCACAAAATTTCACTACTAATAGTAATAAATAAGTAATAAAAAACTAGTTATAATTTTTATGATTCACTGCTTTAAACATCACTAAAGTTATATTTACAGTGTAATTTCCCTTCATAAGCCAAACCACATGTAATAAGAAAACACTGAATTTCAAAACAATCATAACAAATTCACCTAATTCAGCACTAGCAGTTGGCATAATGGCTATGTTGCTAGACTCTCATGTAGTCGAACGTGGTTTAAGTCCTGGAACCGGTGGCTTAAACTCATGCTGGGCATGTGTGTGTGCATGCCCAAGATCCCGAGAGGAGAATGGAGAAGGGATTGCGGTGTGGCCATGTCCTCTGGAGGGTGATTTCTCGCTTTCTGTCTCTCTCTCTCTCTTTTTGGCAAGCAGATGCAACCTATAGCAAAAAACTCTCAAAAACAAAACAAAACAAAAAACCCAAATTCATCTAATTCAAATCTCCATAGGTAAAGAAACTAACATGCTATAAAATAAAGGTTTGCCCAAAGTCAACTGCTAACTAACTGATGAAATACGACTAAGTTGCATGGTTCTTTCTTCTACAAAGAACTGCCCTACAAAATATACAATAAACAGTGTGTGTGGTGTAAATATATAAATGTATATAGATATGTATGGTGAAAAAATACGTGTGTATAGATATACATAACTATTAATTTTTTTTTACTGTACTTTCACTTCCTCTCTAAAGACTACATGAATAAAAATGGTAATCCCATTTGCCTATTACCCTCATGTCTTTTTCATTGAATTCAATTTCACGGAAGTTTTGTGCTAGAATAGAAAGGTAATCCTGATTTTTAAAAAAATTAATTGTGGATATTTCTAGTAAATTCTTATTTGTATTAGTAAGGCTGACATATGGAGACATAGAATCATGGGTATATTTTAAGCAAAAAACAACATTTTTTTAAGTAATCTGCTCTTACATATGAAATACTCAGAATTTTCATTGTATTTTCAGTCCCTAGTTTACAAATAGTACAACAGATGTTAGGGAAATAAAGGGGGGAAAAAGATAAGCCACAATCTTTATCCTTCAGAAAACTCAATTTTAAGTTCATAGTACCTTCCTAAAATTCTCCTTTGCTGAGTCCTCATCATCTTGCAATTGCTGGAAGTGTTGTTCAATAAAAGTATGTGAGTCACAAATGTGAGTCACACACGTGACTTTAAGTTTTTTAGTGGGTATATTAAGAACAAGGGTGTATACTTAAATATTTAATTTTTTTCATATATTTAATATAACCAAAATGATGTAATTTTTCACCAGTAATCAACATAAAATGTATTAATGAGGTATTTCATGGTTTTTGGTGGTCTACAAGATCTGATGTGTAGTTTATACTTGTAGCACAATTCAGTAGAAACTACTCATATTTCAAGGGCTCGATAGCCACATGTGGATACTAGACTGGACCATGCAATTCCTGGAGCTCAGTTTTTGGAATGGTTCTCTTCTCTATCCATACTCACTCCTTTGGGGATCTTAAACAGTTTCATGGCCTGAAAACCATCAGAATGCTAGTGATTCCCAAACCAAATTTAAATCTGGCTCAAAACTCTTCCCAAACTTTATTAATACACAACTACTGGGGCCAGCAGGTGGTGTGGTGGTTAAGGGTGTTGGACTCCCACATGGCCAACCACAGTTCAAGTCCTGGACCTGGTGGTTTGCTTTCTCACTTTCCGTCTCTCGTCTCTCTCATGCTCTCTCACTATGCCCCTTCTGGTCAAATTAAAATAAATAAAAATAATTAAATAATTTAAAAAAAAAAAAACAAAAAAAAACGACACAACTACTTGGACACAAACCTAATGTGTCTCAAACTGAACTCCTGACCTGCACACCACACTTTCCCACACAAAACACAGGTGCCCCAAATCTGCTCCTCTTTCAGATATGCCCATTTCAGAAAATGGTAACCTTATTCTTTTAGTTGCTTAAGACAAAAAAGAGTCAAGCTTGACTTCCTTCTTTCTCTTATATCCAATTTATAGCTACCTTTTGAAATCTATCCAGATCTTTAATATCTCTCCCCACTTCCACTACTGAGCTCTTCAAGTTATCAGCACCTCTCACCTACATTACTACAACCACTTCCTCACTTCCTAACCCATCCTTATACTCCTACAGTCTACTTAACACAGTGGAGCTGGAGTTTTAAGAACTAAGATATTGTCCCTCAAGGCTTGAAAACTCTGAATGACTTTCCTTCTAACCTAGAGAAAAAGTTCCTACGAAAGCTTATTCATAATTCCATCTCTTATTATCCTGCCTGTCATTAACACTCCTCTAGCTATGCTGGCTTATCTGCTGTCCCAGAATACCCAGGAACACTTCAAGCATGATTTAAGACTTTTCCACTTGCTGTTCCCTCTACTTGGAATGTCCTGACCCCAGAATTCCCAGGGATTGATTCTTGATTGCATGTCAGTCTTTGTTCAAATACGCCCTATTTAAAACTGCAATACCTTCACTCAAACCTTCTAGAGTAGGTGTTTCTCCTACTGTTTCCCATTTTCCTTTAATATTTTATCTCCATAGGATTTACCACCACCTGATCTACATATTTTACTTATTAATGTCCCTATTAAAAAATAATTTGTGGGAACCAATAGTTAGCGTAATGGCTATGTCGCTGGACTCCCACATAGTCGACCGCGGTTTGCGTCCCAGACCCGGTGACTTAAAACTCACGCTGGGCGCGTGTGCATGCATGCCCAAGATCCCGAGAGGAGGATGGAGAAGGGATTGCAGCATGACCATCCCCCCTGGGGGGTGATTTCTCGCTTTCTGTCTCTATGTCTCTGTCTGGCAAGTGCACATGCCCTATAGCGAAAACCTCTCCAAAAAAAATAATAATAATTTGTCACCTCTAAAGATAGAAAATTATAATCTATGGAAAAGTTATAATCTATGGCTCTTTCCTATAAGAAAATTGAAAATATACTCAGAATGTTCCATAGGACTATATTTTAATTGATCATTTATATCTTGCTTCCCTAAGAAACCCATCTTTTTTTTAAAAATGTATTGACAAAATTTCAATTAAAAAAAAAAGGTCTGGGGCCAGCTGGTGGCATGGTGGTGGTTAAGGTGCAAGACTCCCACATGGCTGACCAAGGTTTGAGTTCCCAACCTTGCAGCCTGAAATCATGCTGGGTCTGTGTGCATCTGTGCATTCATGCCCAATTCCAGGAGAGTGGAGAAGAAGGGATATAAATGTGGCTATCTCCCTTGGGAAGTGATTTCTCACATTCCCTCTCTCTGTCTCTGTCTCCCTCTGGTAAGCACACACGCTATGGCAAAAACCTTAAAAAGTCTTAAAAAAAAAAGTAGTCTGAATTCCAATACTTCTATCAAATAATTTTGTATGTGAAAGTTGCAATAATCACTAAAATATTAAGATGATCTTTCTCCAGAACACTGAGTATCAGAGATTGCAAATGACTTGCCCACAAGGGCCACAATGTTGTAACCAAATTGCGACTGAAGGTCTGTGGCCTTGCACCCTCATCCCACACACTTGCCACTGCATTGCAGTGCTTCTCAGACATACAAACCTACACATTATGACCCAACCAATTATGCTGACTGTCCATAACCCCCCAAAAAGAAAAATAAAAGCACGTATCAAACAGTGTATTATAATGTAACAGAGAATTCACATTTTACCTAAGAGAGTGTAAGGATAGACACAAATGTACAAAAAGGGTAAAGTTATATTAGAATTATCAGGGAAATACAAAGAATGGGTAGAAGAAAAAAGCATAAGATGCCATGGACATACGGTTTATATTTCATTTTTCAAAAAGCTAACAACGTATGGTGTTCATGTGTCTTTACAAACATGGAGAAACTTCATCTTATCACAGGTGAAAATGACGTACCTTACGTTCCATGCAGTGGTAAAGTCTGGGTTTAGAAGCAGCAGGGTGCATGTGACATCTATCAATTCTAAAATGAAGAAAAGTTGTATTATAAACAAATAATCCTACCTTTTAGAGTTTGGCTTCTCTTTCTTTTAAGGTTCTGTATCTTTATTATGTTATACTAATATATGTATCATGCAGTGCTAATTTTATTGATAGATACCCTGTTCTAAGCTGTCAGGCATATGAAGATTATCCTCAAGATTTTCTTCAACTTATGACTCGGTATGACTTCTAAAACTTGACAATGACATAATTTTTCAATACCTCTATAAAGGATAATCTAATTAACCTTTTTATTCTGTTAGTTTGGGGCACTAATTTGATATTTACCAAGAAAAGAAACACTATTTTTAATATCACTATTATTTTAATTCCACAAATATCTCCCATACTGACTATGGATAAAGTTTCAAACGAACCAAAAAAAAAAAAAAAAACCACTCATAATCCAACCCAGTTAATGCAATTCATTTACATCTCATGCAAAAAATTATCCAGCCCAGGGACCAACAGTTAGCCTAATGGCTATGTTGCTGGACTACCACGTAGTCGACCGTGGTTCAAGTCCCAGACCTGGTGGCTTAAACTTATACTGGGCACGTGTGCGTGCATGCCCAAGATCCCGAGAGGAGAATAAAGGAGAAGGGATTGCGGTGTAGCTGTCCCCCCCTGGGGGGGTGATTTCTTGCTTTCTGTCTGTCTGGTGAGTGCATGCACCCTATAGCAAAAACCTCTCCAAAAAAGAAAAAAAAGATCCACCTCAAACATATTTTATATAGCTATAGCAATGATAAATGTACAGTTTTATTCTGTTTTTTTTTTTTTTTCAGCATATATGCACTCTCCTTTACAGGGAGAGGTTAAGCAAATCTGCTGTAAATCACTGCTAAGTGACTTCAGCATGCCGATGGGGTGAATCTGAATCCAGGACTGTCTTCCTACCAAGGAGGAAGATGTCAGTAAACGCCGAATCTCTCTCCAAACACCATACTTATACCAGAAAAGAAATGTTCCTCTGATGCATACATTCTGGTTTATGACTAACCCATTATCACATCACAGGAAGAAAACAAATCGGGGCACATCATACACAGGAAAAGGAGCTAAATTCCAGTTGTAACAAGGAGAGAATATAAGAATGAATCAGAAGTCAGAGGAAAATCAGGATGCTTTCTTTGCTGCACTGCACACAGAAATGGCCCAAGGCCAGTAGTCACCTGATACTAGTCACTGGGCTTAACAGCTATCTCTGACAAGAGAATGGTTTTCGTGCATTTAGAAATAAATCCAAGGTCAATTTGAATTGTTCAATGTCTTCCTCCAAAATTCATTCATTAAGGTTACTGGATGAAGAGAGATTTCAGGAGAAGCTATGTGCTAAACACCAGAGAAGCCTTGTTATTACAGTACAGTCCCTGAACTAATTGTTAGACTAAGCTAAAAACTCTTTATTTACTAAATTCTTGCATTTGACAAATGTCTGTTGAATACGCACAGGTGCTGAGTAAACAAAGAAAGATAAGTCTTAATCCGGTTCCTAACACAATCACAATCCAGTCAGGAAAAGGTTGTGTAAACAATCATCAATAACATAGTGTGGCACATGTTACTACTATGCAAGCAGTCTGAACCACGGACTCCTATGAAAGTGCAAAGTTGTTACTGCTTCTTCAAATAGAAAAGGCCTTCCACATTTTGCAGCTGTGTGCATGTGTGCATGCATGCATACATGCTGGAAACCACACCAAGGATGACAACATGACCCTAGCCTTAGCAAAGGAATGGAAGTAAGGTAGCACACAGCAAATCAATGAATGGAACAATGAGGCTTGTATCCGGTTCATGAAAAAAGGGAATTAAAAGAGTTTATTCTGGTGTAAAAAAATTTCTGAGGGCTGGTTCCATAGCCCAGCAGTTAAGAGAGCTGGATCCCTGGGGATCAGAAGTTGGCATAATAACTATGTCGCTGGATTCCCATGTAGCCGACCACAGTTCAAGTCCTAGACCCAGTGGCTTAAACTCACGCCAGGCATATGTGTGCGCATGCCCAAGATCCAGGGAAGAGAAGGGATTATGGCATGGCCATTCCCCCCCCCCGCGTGGCCTCCCCCCCCCCCCCCGCCCCCGGGGATGATTTCTTACTTTCTGTCTATCTCTCTCTGTCTTTCTGGCCAGTGCGTGCACCTTATAGCAAAAAACCTCTCCAAAAACGAAGGAGAGAGAGAGCTGGATCCCACATGGCTGATGGTGGTTTGACTCCCAGCCTGGTAGCCTGAAAAACATACCGATGTGTGAATATGTGCCACAAATCCTAATGTGACAGAGGAAAGGAAGGACGACTGTGGCGTAACCGCTGCAGAGGATACCTTCTCTCCCTCTGGCAAATGCATACACCCTCTGGCAATTAAAAATAATTTTTTTGAAATCTATACATACTTTTTTTATTATTATCATCATAATCTTTATATTACATTGGATTACATATAACTTTACAGTGTATTACATTGCTTTTTCAAAAGGGAATGCCATGCATGTCAGTCAATACAGAGACATTAATCTCCCCACTTCATCATTCAATATCTTTTC